AGCCCTTCTCCTGCAGCTCTTCCCTCTCCCTTCTTTGTTCTAAACTCCTCTAACGGTTCAAACATGCAAACTTCAAATCAAGAATACTTTGTGGCTTTACTGGGGTTCAAACTCTATTCTTCAGAATAAAAGTCTTGGCTGTGTCCGAAATCACCCCCTATACCCTTGCACCCTGCACCATAGGGCGTTCGCCATTTTGTAGGGCTGTCCGAATGTTAAGTTACAAATATTACACCCTATATAGTGCAAACAAAATATCCCACAATGCACCATGAAAAGTAGTGTACAGCTGATGGTCACTATGGACCATCATGCACTGCGGGAAAGGAAATGCAAATGAGACAAACGAGAAAACTGGTCATTAAAATGTAAGGAAGTTCCCGTTTATGTGTTGTTAGATTTTATTTTACCCGTTTCTTAGCAATGCAATAAACTGTAAATGTGATGTGTTTGCACTACGCTGCTACGGCGCAAATCACGGCGATGTAGTTAATAGCTCGAGTGGTGTAGATGGTAGATCTACTCTAGATAGTGAGTAGGGAGTGAGTGGATGATTTCGGACACAACCCTTCTCTCGTTGCACCATCACATCCTGAACTTCTTGTGGATTTTGCTACTGCTAAAGATGAAAAAGAAGGTGCAGGAGGTTAAACTACAATATGCTGAAAAGCTAGCATGGAGTTTTTGCCTAATAATGGCAACAAAACCCCACCTGCTCTGGCTTTAATCAATATTTTTATACTAATGAAAAGTTTTTTTTCCTGCTGTCATGTTGATTTCTCCATATTTTGTGTGTTTTATCAGCTGAAACCTGAAACCCTAAACAAGCGATGGAGAAGACAGACTCTCCATCTGGGCCAGGTGGAGGTGAATCTCTCCCTGAAATACTCTCCCCACCCGCTCGAGCCTCCCAGCTCCACAGCCCAACAACCGCCCGTCTTCTGCGTTTCCATCCAGAGCGTGGCACAGTAAGTCCCTGGCTGTTTCTACGGCTGACGTCGTCTGAGCTGGAAGTGCAACTGAAACCGAAAGCTGGACTTCAGTTGAGAGTTTTATTTCCCTTGCGTGCTATTTCGCACGGCCAGTTTTCCGGAAGAGAAGTGGTTTAATTTATGGGAGCGAGTGGGCTGAGGAGAAGCAGAAGTGTGGCAAGAGTGGGGTTTTAAAACAAGCCACGAATCAAACGTCCATAATAGCTATACAATAACTGTGCATTAATACTTGAAAGTTTCAATTCTCTGTCAGACAGGAGGGAGTGTTTGTTCCTCATGTGGTGCGGTGCTGTGTGGCCGAGGTGGAGAGCAGAGGCATGGCTGAGGTGGGGATCTACAGGATTTCAGGAACTGGCAGTGATATCAACATGCTCAAGGCTGCGTTCAACAGCAGTAAGAAAACACATGTTCAAATGTAGTGTAATTGAGACAGGCCAGGAACACTTGACACAACTTTCCTCCAACATAAACAGGCCAAAAGGCTAAAAAGGCCACAGTTTGGCTAAAAAAAAAAGTCTTTTAGTAGCTGCAATCCCTCATGTTGTGTTTTTGTCATGCATTCATAACACATCTGTGAGAAACTCTGTCAGCTGCTGGTCTCCGTATATATATATTGCATGGCATACTCGTGCATTTAGTTGAGGAGAGTGTATGCCAAAGAAGTTGCAGCATCACTGATCATAACTCTTCTCTGTCTGTTCCGCTCAGATCTGCGTGAAGCAGTGAGCAGGCTCAGAAGCACCGACGTGAACGCTGTTTCTGGTGTCCTCAAGCTCTACTTCAGAGAGCTGCCTGAACCTCTGATACCCACCGAGCTGTTTCAGAGTCTGGCAAGAACTCTGGGTAAGATGTCCCCAGCACATAAGAAACCCTAAACGAGATTACTTCAGTGTTTATTTGTTTGAAACTGTTACATGCAGTAGGCTGCCTCTTTTGGCCTCCTTTTAGTAGAGACATCAAAGTTTATTTAGATATTTAAAGGCTATATACAGATGTGCTATCAATATGAACACTTTTTCATTCGCACGCTTTTCATTCTGCATCCTATCAATTCTAATCACTTCAGTTCTGCATCTTTTTATGTAGTGTTTTCATATTTGTGAGGAGAAGTTCATGTCTAACTTGTTTGCCATAAAACAAAGCAGGATATCACCTCTAAATGACACCCTCAAGTCTTAAAGTTAACCCTTACATACTGTTACGGGTCAAATTTGACTCATTTTGATGTTGTAAAAATACCCTAAACGTCATTTTTTTAGCCTGAAATTTGACGACTTTTTCTAAAGTGAACCAAAATACACATAAATTAAATGAAATGTTATACTTGGGCTGCAAGGTGGCGCAGTTGGTAGCACTGTTCCATCACAGCAAGAAGGTCACCGGTTCGCGTCCCAGTGGGGGCATCAGCGTGGAGTTTGCATGTTCTCCCCGTGCAGCGTGGGTTCTCTCCGGGTTCTCCGGCTTCCTCCCACACAGTCCAAAAACATACTGAGGTTAATTGGTGATTCTAAATTGTCCGTAGGTGTGAATGTGAGTGTGCTTGGTTGTCTGTCTCTAAGTGTAGCCCTGTGATAGACTGGTGACCTGTCCAGGGTGTCCCCTGCCTTCACCCTAAGTCAGCTGGGATAGACTCCAGCCCCCCCCTGCGACCCTAGTGAGGATTAAGCGGTGTATAGATGATGGATGGATGTTATACTTTCATACAAGTGCTACACATTTTTAAACACTGAGGCTGTTTCAGGTCAAATTTGAACCGTATGCATTGATGTGGATTTTAGATCTATCAGCGTGGGTCAAATCAGGGAAAATGGTGGTTTTAGTGAATCTTGAAACTGTGAAACAGTATTTTTTTATTTACATTTATTAATGTGACATAGGCTATTTAGACATTGTAAATAGATGTGTAGTTTAAAAGTTGGTATAGTCACTTAGTTTGAGGGAATTCTTGACAGGAGTAGGCATAAAATACAAACAGTATGTGAGGGTTAACTACATGTGAACTGCTTTGCCTGCAGACATCCAGGACTTGAACTCACGGCTGGTCTCCATGCTGTCCCTGCTGCAGTCCTGTCCTGACGCCAACCGCAACACCTTCCTCTACCTCTTGCATCATCTCCAACGGTCTGAATCAGTACAAAAAAAATAACATAACCACACATCTTACATATCCTGCAATAACCGAATTGCTCTAAAAGCCTCATTGCACAAGCACCATCAACCAAGAAATCTAATTACATAAACCACACAGGAAGGCCACAACTGACTAAATTCGCGTTACTTTCATTCACAACTAAATTAAAACTCACCCACTCGTGATTTAACGCTCACTTTTAGTTCCAACACAGCTTCTGAAATCACTGTGTTGTTTATACTCGTGATCAGAATACGTGGAGTTGATTCTAGTTCCCTGCACCTCATGTCTTTTTTGTTTTTTTTGTCCAGAGTGTCAGAGAAGCAAGACGTTAACAAGATGTCTCTGCTTAACCTGGCTACAGTATTTGGTCCCAGCCTTATACGCCCTCCCGTGGCTGGGTTGGGGTACGACGGCCCCACTGTGGACATCTCTCAGGAGGTTGTGATACAGGTGGGCATCCAGAGGTGGAGGAAGAATGAAAACATCTTAACATGACATGACATGAATTAAGACAAATGTATTCAGTGATTGTAAGAGTTTTTGAAACACCTGGGTATTCCAGTGTGTATCCACCACCAGCAGCAGCAGGTATTTTCCAGTGTATTCAGATGCGACGTGAAGATTGATGGATATTTCATAAACTTCTGCTACTTTCTTTGTGGACATGTTTTGTCTTTCCTGCGTGTTTGTGTTCAGGTCCAAGTGGTTTACAGTTACCTGCAGTGCGACTACCTCCCCGAAGCCCAGATCTCTCTGCCACATGACACAGATGCTGAAGATGAGACCACCCACGTGTGAGACCACCATCTGTGTCGCGGCTGGCAGGGAATTCAAACAGCGCAGCGTAGAGCCATCTGAGTGAAGTCTGTAAGACAATAAAGGTATTTATTGATTAAAAAATACAGACTTTTTGTTCTTTTTTTCTCACTTTCTGCAAGATTTTGAAACCACAGCTGTTAGGTTTTCTCTTTTTCTTTAATACATGTTGAACAGATTACAAGTCATTTGCATGTGAGTGTTGTTTTAGCGTGGCGGCCAGACAACAAAAACACACCACGCTTCCTCGATGTGGTCCAAAAACTAAGAAATATCTGCAATTTAATACAGAGTGGTAACATACTGTATGCTGAAATACAATCACTGCTCCGGAGTTCTCAATTATATTACAGTTAAAAATGAAAAATCTCCACTTTTTTTGACTTTTCTTTTATGTCAGCTTAAAAACGATGTTTCAAAGTTTATTCAAGTTTCTTGTCTCCCCACAAAGGCCTATTGTTTTTATTATACGTACCCAGAACACCCCAGAAAAGTACTATTTATGTACGACTTAGAGATTATTCTTGTGAAATAAAGTAAATTAAACCAAACCCCAGCAGCAAATGGATAAATCGAAAATTTGTTTGATTTACCTGATCTTTAATTGACGTTACTCACAAAGGAATTGGTCAAACATCTACTTATAGCATCCTTGTTATTTCATGCAGATGAACTGGGTGGCACACTGAGTAATGTGAAGTTGACATGTGGTTCAGGAAAAATCAGGGGCGCACATGTTGTAAAAAGGTCAAGGGTCACCTCTCCGAGCCTGAAATCCAATCGGTTACGGTTCAGATCCAACTAGACGGAGTTCACCACAAAGTATACGCTTCATAAAAGCCATGCTCACATACGTGTACGGCACGTTGGAAGCCGACGCACACATGCGGCCCATGTTCGACCCATCCACACCACAGATGGGAGTCCGTTTTCAACCGCACCACCTGGGCAGGCTGGGTTAGTGTTACGTCCAACCTTTTACCCCAGAACAACCCCCCTCCTTGGGTCTTTTGATCGCTAATCCTGGACCCCAAGTCTAGCTCTCGGTGTACTAATAGACTGCAGAGTGTGCGCCGGACGCCATAACAACATCCAGAGCAAGTTTCCCCCCAAAAAAAGAAGAAACGAATAGCGGGATCAGCCCCGCTGCCCCCTGCGCCATAAATCACCTGTCCGCTCTAACACAGTGGCTGCCAAAATAAGGTTCCGCTTGACGACTACAAAGACAAAACGAGGTTCCCATTGCAGACTACAAAGAGAAGGGAGCTGAGGACGGCCTGAGACATCCCAGACGTTTGTGGCCGATCGCAGGGCCAGACGACTGTTCGACACCTGGGACTGGTGGGAAAAATTTAACGGGGAAAGTCAAGTTATGGCCTTGTGACGGCAATGTGCAGGTTCCAACTGCTAACCCCCCCCCCCAAAAAAAAAATACAATGATGGATTTACATGGAAATTCTTCTATTAGGGTCATTTGTGTAACCCTGTTTTGACAAAAGAAATGAAAAAGACTTTAGATTGACCTCTTTAATTTACAAAAAAAGATTTTTTTTGTCAGTTCTGTACAGAGAAATATTAAAACCTACAAAAAAAATTACACATACATCCAATCTATCAGCACTAACATTTTAGAATGTTGAGCGGGCTGGAAAATTTTTAGATTCACAAGCAGATCGGTAAAAAACATGATACTTCCAAATGTGTACGAACTCTGGATTTTAAAGTTTTTCCAGGGCGATTACAAACTGTGAATGCTAGTTTTCCAACATTAGGAGGAGACGTTGTTTTAAAAAAAGACTTCTTGTCAAATGAAATGGTGTGAGGGTGACCCAGTATTCAACTGGTTATTACACATGCACAAATGGTGAGTCCCCAGTTCGGTCTGGACCTTTACTTCATGTTGCTCTCCTGCTCTCTTTCCTCATATTTCCCTCTCTTTGCTATCAACAAATGGAGGGAAAAGGCAAAAATGCCCCTAAAACAAAATAAAAAAAACTTAATTGCATTTAAATTTTACTTATCATAACCATTTGAATAATAAGTGTGTTTGCATCTCCATATATTTCTGCCTTTCCTTGGTGCCATCTCTATTAGACTGAAACATTACTGTTCTGCTTAATCTACTAGGAACAGTACAGAGAGTACTTTCCTTTTTTAATCATGAGCATTTTTTGAAGGGTTTTATTCTCTTTTTCTGACAGAATACATTTTAAAAGTCAATCTTTGTGGTTCAGGACTGTATAACGTAATTGTTATGCACTTTTTTCTGCATGTTGACACCAATAACACTCAAATATAATTTAATCAAAAATAGAAAATGAAGCTATGGAAGTTAAGAAACAAAAATCCTGTTTCGGTTATAGGTAGAAAACAATTAAATTTAGCCGACTGTGCACAAATAGTTTATGCACTGGTGGCAAATTCTCAACAGCCGAGTTAATCCAAACTCTAGTCGGGCGTATCTTCAACAAACAACGATCAGAAAGCGTGACGCTCCTTTAACCGACTACCACCTTAAAATGCAACTATACTCAAATGATAGCAGACATCTACTGCCGTGCTGGATGTCAGTTCGGGCTGAAGCAGGACGCTTGAATGTCCACAACTGCACCATTTGTCATCTAAGAAATTATTAACAAAATGTCCTCCAACATGATCAACAGATTGTTTGGAACCACAAATACTTATTCCTCTATATTTAAAAAATAGAATTTAATGAAATACGTCATGCTGCTTTTATATTTCAGTATATTTTAAATGCTGTATGTCAAAGTGCAAAGGTTTTTTTTTTTGAAAGTGTATTTTAGTTCGTGATTTTTTATTTTTGCTTCTTTTTTTGGAGAATGAAGTGACAGAACTGCGGCGTAAGGGAGAAAACGCTGGAATCAAATCCAGGCCAGAGCATCGGGATGATGATCTTGCAAAACGCACGACAGTATTTTTGCCCGCAGTAAATTAAAAACAGGAAACGCTGCCAGTGTGCACATGTTTGTGATACAGCATGTTGTAGCTGTGTGTGTGTGTGTGTCATGGCGTTGCTGCCCGGAGCTGTGCCATGCTTGATTAGTCTTAATCTAGCTGGGAGTCGGGTTGCTGTGTCGGCGGCGTGTCTGTATGGAAGGCATGCAGGCTGCGGATCACAGGGATTGACCCTCTGCCTCTCAGGTTAACAGAAGCCCTGTGTGTGTGTTTTTGTGTCCTGAAAACAGTGTGACAGTGAAACCTGGTCTCTTGAGTGTGAGAAAACAATGAGGAGTGTGTGGCGGAGAGATGTAGAGCAAAAGTGTGTGTGTGACTGGCGGAGGGGGGGAAAAAAAAGAGTTTTTTTCAGTGTTGGCAAGACGTCTAGTTGAACTTTGGCTCTGGCTGCAGTGCAGGACGAGTCACCTCTCGTAAAATGTCCCCTCGGCAGGCTGTAAACATAATACCACACACTCACAAACACACACCCTCCACGCCAGAGAAGATCTTATTTTCTGGGTGCCACCAAAACAGTAGGCCTGCCCCTCGTCCGCGGTGCTTCGGGAAAGAGTGTGTTGTCGGTTTAACGTGAACAAAGCCGCAGATGATGTGCTCCCCCCTCCGCCGCAGCAGAGCGAGCGGCGGGCTTAAGTTGTCTGTTAGTGTCTGTGTAAGTGTGTGTGTTTGGGGAGTTTGGGGATCAAACCCTCATGTCGACAGAGGCAACGCCGCGGAGACGACCGCTGACAGGTGCTTCCTGCAGCGACGCAGCAGGTGCTTCGTGTTCGCACAAACACACACACGGATTGTGCATGAACTAAAACACACAATGACACGCACACTTTCTTCCCACCCCCTGCTTTCCCCCTCAGACACACACACAAGTTTTGGGCGATAAACTTAACTCTTATCGCCGCAGTTTGGTTGTGCTGCTTTGAATCAATTTGAGCCGATCACTTTGCTGCACATCTGTAAACATCTGTAAACCTTTCACCTTCAGTGGATTCAATAAGTGTGTCCTGTTTGATTAATCAGCAGGGCAGCATTAGCCATCAGTTGGAGTCTGTCTGCATCCACCTAATGGATTGCAGCTCCTTCAACTCTGATTTGGTCTCCACCAACTCCTGAGGGAAATCTGTCTCCTCATTGGCTAAATGCTCGACTGTATTCACCAGTCCGCTCCTAACGTATCTTTTAGAACCTTTTCACTGAAAACAGCTGCCTCCTGTTGAGAGCGACGCTAACGAGAGCAACGAAAATGAATCAAAACAGGAACGCCGCAGACCTTAAAATGAAAACAATGAGCTGAAAGATGTTACTAATGGTGTAATATCTTTTTTTTTAGGGTTTATGTGTTGATTATGGTTTGTTTTCTAGTTGTACAAAATGCTTTCAATGCGAATTTTGCACATTATATGTAGCAGCTTGTGCCACTTTATAGCGTTTACAAATGCCCCCATTGAAGCATAGTTTGTGTTTATCATTTTCAAATCACTACATGGAGAAAAATAAGGATAATGTCTTTATCACCAGCTAGAATCCAGGTATCAGACCAGTACTCTGATCTGACCCTGCGATGAATCGAGTGACGCAAGTAACACACAGATGACAAACATTTAGAAACAAAAAATGTGAAAAATGACAAGATTACAATTCAAAAATACCAATAGTGTCTTTAAAATGAGATGAAAAGGAAGATCTGTAGGTCCTACTCAGCAGATTGTACTTAAAAATTCTGATTTTTATCTTTTATCAGTGATAATAAGAGATGTTGTTAGCATTTTGCCAATTCTGTGGAAGAAAAGAGGACACATTTGAAATCCATGAGTCAATATGTGATGCTTAAGATGTTTTCATTGTACTATAAATGACAAAAACTAAACATGATTCTCATTGCTATGGCTAAATGACTAGTATTACTTCTGATGGGGGGATAGTTTATTGCATGATGTAATTGCACACAGGACTTTGTGATCTGGTTGTTTGGGGGCCCCGATAATCTGCCAGGTGGTTGTTAGGACGTTTGGACCCCGTAAGGGTAGAGAAAGAAGCTCGACGACACACTCTGACCCCCCTCGGCGTACTGTACGATCAGTTCCGCCGCGAGGCCGTCAGTCAGCGAGTCTATTTTTCTCTTTTTTATTTTCAATCAGAGGCTTCAAACTCAGCAGCGCAGCCAATCACCGACACAGGAGCTAGCAAAACAACATGCCTGCCTCAACAAATAGGAGCTTTTCCATCTGTCTTGATGCAGCCTCCCCCAACACACACACACACACACACACACACACACTACCTCCACCATCATCTCCCCTGAGCCATGACGCTATATCTCCCAAATGGAAACACAAGTCATGACGACAAGGTCGGACTCGCTGCTTTTAAGATCCATATCTGGGCTCCTAACGACCTGTCTGAGGATTCCTGCACGGTTAGAAAATGAGGCCCGAGTTAGTTTGGTCTGTGTGTCAGCTGTCCGGCGAAGGAACAGATTGTAGATAAAGTCAGATTTCCCAAAATATCGTACAGCGTGAATGCAAAATGCGAGGCAAAGTGGAGTTTGTATGATTATTTTTTTGCCTCGTCCACTAAAAATACATGTAGGAAAGGCAAAAAGAAGAGAAACTTTAACTCTATGTCTGTTAAAAAATAGTTGTGGACATAATACAAATGCACAATTTTAGGCTCTGAGTATTGGTAAAGAAATCTGATTTTAAAAAGTGTCCCTAAAAAAAGGATTTTTGGAATTTTGCTTAAATTTTAAGTCACAAATTATGAGTTTTTAACCGAATCAACAGGCTGCATAACAATAATATGAGTAAAACAGTTCTCAGCTCTGTAAATATCAAAATGTAGTAAATTGTAATTAATAAAATTAATTTCATAATGTTTAAATTTGAATATAAATGAGTCGACATTGTTTTGGACTTATTTGCAGCAAATCATTAAACTAAATCAAAAGCTTTGTGCAGATAATAAGAGGTCAAATATTTCTAATTATGCTAATTATTAGAATAAATCTACACATTTTGTAGATTAAAATAAATATGACTCAAGTAGGGGTTTAACAGTTGACCATTTGTGACCATAATGGTAATAATTACTAAAGGAAATATGGATTTTATGTTAATGATACATGTGAAAATAATAAATTCTGTTGACAACATAAAAAGCATACAACACATTTATAGTTATCGATTCTTTGCACTTGTATTGAATCTGCTTTTTTTTTTTGTTGTTGCAAAAAAAGTGACAAAACACACATAAACAAATTTAAATACAAATTTTCACTGATATAAATCTCTTTTTTTTATGATGGATATCACACTAATGTCATTATTATAATTTTTTTTCCCCACAATAATGATGCAGTGAAAACCTGATGTCATGACAGGCCAAGAAATGTTTGTTCAGTTCGAGTCGAGTTCATTCAGACTTTAATTTTCAAAAATAGTAGAAAATATTCAAATTCTGATATTTGTATTTCACACAGCACCATCTTGTCTCGGTGGAATATTTTCATCATCGGTGAGTTTTGCTGTTTGACGTTGCCGCACGACAGTTGATCTCTAAAAAGCACAAACAGTTACAAGAGGAAACAGGTGTGTGTGTGTGTGTGTGTGTGTGTGCTGAGGTTTCTTCTGACTCGGGAGACTATTCCATTCTTGCTTCTCTTGAAATCTTCAGAAAAGTTTAAAAAAAACTCCTTGTAGTTGTTGTTGTTTGATTGTCCTGAAAGATGGGGGATAAAATGTTCTTTTTTTTTTTAACGTCTTCTTGTGGTTTTTTACTCAGGGTTTGGAGTTGAACACACCAGAGCAGGTGTGGATAAAGCAGCCGGGGTCGCCTCAGTGGGTTTAACTTCACTGTCTGTGTGAGAGAGTGTGTGCGACACCGTCGTGGTTTTAGTCTCGTCCACTTTCCCAGAGTGTGCGTTCCCACCGTGAGGCTCTTTCTCAGTCAGCAGGTGAGGGGGGATGTACCCAGACTGGGGCCTTGTGTGCTCCTTGTGGTGCCGGTGGTTGGTCGGGGATTTCGGGGGGCAGCGTCCCCTCTTGTCCTGCCCCCGGAAGCCCCTGAGCTTGGGGCTCCAGTGTTCCCGCCACTGGAGGGCCAGAGTGGAGCGGTCCGCCACCAGGCGACTCTCCTCCGGACCCCAGCCCCGCTCCCCTTCCTCCGCTCCAATCAGGAGGAACGTCCGGCCTACGTGGAGGGCGGGGCATCCGCAGCCGAGGTCGCGGTCGGGGACCCAGAGGGACTGGGGGCCCCTGCGGACGCGGGAGGTAGACCCTATGCGGAATACGGTTTGGACGGAGATGGAGAACTGCCACCAGGGACCTGAGCGCTCCATCCCTTTGACCTGCACCTTCAGCACTGACAAACACAGACACAGCACATTTATAGGTTTCTGAAAATGATTCTGGTGTTATCAGCACTTTTTGATTTTGAGCAGTTTAGCTTTAGTTTTACTTTTCTGTGTGCATCTATTAGATTTAAATGTCTGTTTATACATTATAACATCTTACAAATGTACAAATTTTATTTTAGTATGGGTTTAAGTTTCTAATATAAGCAACAGGAAACTCAAGAAAAAAAAGTACAAACAGTTTGAAACCATTATTATGCTTTTTTGACAAGATAATAAATTAAAAACCCGACACTAACCGTAGTCCTTGAGACAATAGGTCTCCAAGTTCATCCTGACTTTAACCTGAGAGGGCTGGCAGTAAGAAACACACTCCTCCGCTGCATCAGAGAAAGAGAGAGTGCATCAGATGAGAGGGTATCATTTCACAGCAAGCACATCAGCACATGTCTTTTCCCCTAATTACAATATGGCTGCTTCTATTTGTCATCACAGTATCCTTTGACTAACAGATGATCCCAACTGCAGCAGGTGGGACATTCCTGGAGCCGCCGCTAGGAGGGAGTGGTTAGCTGCTTCACGAGGAGCCAGAGGAGCGGCTCCCGAAGCAATTCAAGGACTGATCTGTTCAACAAAAAAAAATACAACCCACTGCCTTCACGGATGATTTGATCTATGGTTTCATACAAGTGCCGTAAATCTGAGTGTTGTACATGAGGGGACACCAGCGGGAGGGAAAGAAATGTTAATAAATTAGAAGAAAACGACTGGGTAATTCAATAAAACAACAGTCATTTATAGCTTTTCCTGCATGTGACACTCAGACATCTCACGACTGAGTGTTGAAATGCTGATCCACAGAATTTACAATGGAAAGACTATTTTGAATAGACGATTTTCTCACACAACAACCCACCACTATATAAACAATCACATGTAAAAAGAACAATTTCCTTCCACTGGAAATTGTTGAAATTTTAATTTAAGTGTCCCACACATTCAGTCTGATTTATTAAGAATGCAAAACAAAAAAAAGAGGGAAAAATATATATTAAAAAATACAAGCATGGCAGTGGGTAAACTTGGAGGTTGGCCTCGAAAAAAAAAGAAGAAAAAAGGCAGCCACAATAAGCACCAAAACATTACTGAGCAGTAATCTTTCTATGCAAAAGTGTCGACCAAAAATGCATACTAGCCAAAAATGTAGTTTTGTGCTTATTGCAATGAACTTCCTGCCTCGAAAATCAAAGAGCTTTATCAGATTTTTGCAAAACAATTAAAAATAAAAATCAGCAGCTCTGGGATAAAACAGACCTGTTACATTACTTTTTTACAATTACAGATATTAAAGACAGATGCAACATATGCACAGAAGGGTTTTTAAAATTAGATTTTGTAGGACATTTTTAAATTTAATGTAGTCCGGTGCACCACAACGACCCACTACGAGCTTAGCTGCATTATCACCTTGTCGACAACATCAGAAAAGATTTAAATGTCGAAGCTTTGCAACACTAAAGTGTGTGGACGAGCCATTGTATTTGATTAGGTTTCACGGGTTTGCCTAATAAATTGGCCAGTGACTGAATGTGAATGCTCGTACCTGTACTTGCCATGAAAAAGCAGAATTTTCATTTTCTGGTTTCACTCACCTATGCTGTACTGAGGCTGGTAGACCGGTGTCGGAGCAACCTCTTGAATCCCTGCAAACATAAACACACTTTCAAAGAGGTGGCCCGAGCAGATACAAAGAAACTTCAGGCTACCTTCATGAGCTGTCAGTTTGTTGCAGTTATGTCTGAATGCCTCTCGGTACGCGAGGCATGCCCATACAGAAGATAAGCAAGTGTCAAAACGGCCGAGTGTGTGGTCCCTTTTTTACGGTCCAGAACACACCCTGTGACGCTCGCCCGACACAAACTTTACTTTTGGTAATTTAATAAGGTCAGACCTTCGCTTCTTGCATGGTTTCGTCCCAAACATTAAACAGAGTCTAGCAGGGTTCACTCGCGGGCTGCACGTCAGTGAACCTGTGGATTGAGAATGAACAATCTGTTTGGCCGCTCATACATTACCCAGGCCTCTTGTAAAAGTGTGTGAGACAACGCCGCCATATAAGCTCACGCTCCGTTCCCCCCGTCAATGTCCTGTCTTCTCTGACACAACTGGGCCAGTGACACCCAACACCCCCACCCAGCTGACGGTCCCCCACGTTTTAAAATCAGGAAGCTGGTGTGTGTTTGTCTGTACGTAGCATAAGCGAGGGTCCTAATGAGGCCTTTGAGGTTACCTGTGTGACCACTCATGCCTAAACTATCCTTATCGTCCTTCAACTATATTTTTCTTTGAGGATGTTTCAACCTAAAATAAAATCACCTTTAAAACTCCAGTTTTTAAAAATTGCTTTTCAGTGATTTTATTTATACTTTATGGCAACGTGTGTCATTCATTGTGTTTTATAGCCTTGGTGGCTTTAAGCTTTTATGTGTTGCTCTGTGGTAAAGCATGCTGTAACTGTATTTTGAAAGTTGATATATAAATTATATATATATATTTATAATGTGTGTAATTTTAGTCATAATTATTAGAATTAAAGAAAAACTTTGCATTTGAAATATTGTCCAAACACAAGTAGTTTTGTGGCCTAAAACAATTCAAACGATCCAAAAACAAGTAAACATCATGCATTAACCAATGAAATATGTTAGTTTAACACAAGAAAATAAACTTTATTTTAGTTTATTGACATTTTAAGCTCCTGTGAATTGTATACAATTGTTTGTACATGTTTGAACATGATCAATTAATTTAATTCATTGAGTTGACTTAAAGGTTAATTAAATTAGGTGATTTCTTATTTGAATATATTTAGTTGTTGTTTCATTTAGTTGTGAGGAATAAATATTTACTAAGATGTCAAAAATCACAATAATGGAGTTTTTTTCATTTGCACATAACAGGGAGTAAATACTAAGTTCATTTATTGATGTTTGAGCCGGAGGTTCTTAAAATATGGAGGCTTGGCTCAGCCTAAAAACTTAGATTTTCAAAACCATTTAATGTGTATAAAATGTGAAACACTGGCAAAGTAAGTGTGTCCCATTCCTTTCTGTGCTCATTCTCAGTGGAGTTAGTCTAATTTATGATCATTTACAGCTGATGATTTATATGTTTTTGTGTCAAAAATGTTTGAAAACCTCTGAGCCAAATGAGGCTTGCCGACCTTCAGCAACCAGCTGCAGTGAGATTGGTATGGTTAAGTTATTCATACTAATTTTAATGTTAAATAACAATTTCATGTGTGGACTTAATTTAAATGGTCCAGGAGGGGATATGCAGGTGCTGGTGAGGAGAACAAGTTCACTTTTAAAGTCTCATAACTAAATATTTCTCAAAAAAATAATAATTAGATCAGATTTGCTGGCTGTTGCTGACAAAACCCACTGTTTGTGTTAGTTAATGATTACTGTGCATCCATTTCGGGTGAAACTATAAAACGAACATTTAAAAAAATGTAATTTTTGCAACCACATTAGACTTTTAAAGTAAAATTAAAACGATCCAAACAGCTCTGACGGAGCTCAAAATTCAACCTGAGGATGGCTGCCATGTGACCAATTATCTAACTATAGCTTATGAGAGGTCCTACAGACCCGGGTCATGAATCCTTTGTTTGGGGAATTGATTGTGTTCACTCTGGTGTGTGCCTGGCTGAGGAGCAGCTCCAGAACCCCACCTGAATCAAATCAGGGATGATTTGGCCATGAGCTCCTGAGGCCCTTGTTCTCCCCGCCTCCCGACCTGCCTGATTGGACCACCACCTGGATCCCTTCTCTTTCATCCAATCCCACTGCAGCAGTCGCCACACCTGGATAATATAAAGCCTCAACCAAGCTCCCAGTTGGGCTGGGATTTTGAGGGAACTGTTTGGGGGTTGCTTGTCTTTGTGTTGAAATGTAACTTCTGTTGGCAGCTGCTAGCTTCGTGCTGGAGTTACCCATGTCTTGGTGAAGACAATAACTCCAGTTAGCAGCTGTTCAACTTCATGAAGAAGTTACGCATCGTCTCTTATGTGTTTTGTGACACTTGTTTTGTTGGTTATGGGTGCTGCTATTGGGTTTCAGTTTGGCAAGAGAGTTCAGTCGTTTTGTTTCTATTTAGCTCGCCGTTAGCCTTCATTAGCTGTTATTTGGTTAAAAACTTAGCAACACCCACTAGCAGTTTTCTGTGTACCATCATAATTGTGGTTTTTGGGGGATTTTTTTGGTCACTGAGCAACAAATTGCTTAACGTACACCAAATACACCAGTTTTCTGAAGGCTGGATCGCATCCATGTTCAACAGCCCAACTGTCTTAAGTGTTGCTTTCACTGGGTAGCTAAAGAGCCCTTTTCTTCACCAACCTGAGCTTGAAATGTAATTTTTCTGAACAAAAATGTAAATTTGGCCAAACAACACCAATAGTTTTAACTTCAGCAAAGGCTATTGGGGCTTCTTCACCAGCCAACTTCCACTTTATGTCTTGCTTTAGGTGTCTAATTGCCTGAATCTGACTAAATATGCCGTCTTTGTGGAGCTGGACATTAAACACATCCTTCCTGGTTGGTTCACATTGCAGATAAAATAATTTAGTGGGGCCTAAGTTTGACTTTAGCCCCACTGCATGCCTTCTGGTCTGTCTGAGAGAAGAGGAGGAGAAGGCGAGGTGTTGGAGGTGGCGGTGGGGGTCGAGAGATGCTATACATAGACCGAGATGGTCTGGCAGTAAAAACAAACAAGGTTTTCTTTCACTCACTCCTTTCACTGGGAGAGTTATGGGTCTGGGCCCTGTGATGGAGGCATTTCGAGGTGCGCAACAGGTGTGAAGCTCCTCGCCGCGGGCTCCCTATGTCACCTGATTGGGACTCGCACAGCGTCAGTGTCCGTGTAGTTGTCGGCTCTCCTGCGATTAGCCCGGGACGTGCACGTGGATTATCACTCACGGCTGAAGTTCGGTGTGGGCCATGCGCAGAGATATGAGTAGCAACAATCCTCTTGATTCCCAGATCATGGGGGAGATGAGGTTTCCCTGTAGCAGTCAGCTCATGTTAACACTGCTGTGGAAACCGTCTCCAGGGATGTTGAAAAGGAGACACGCAGGGTGACTGGGCCAAATTAGTCTGGAGGGCAGCGGCCCCTTTTATATTGAGCTACTATTCGATAAAGGCTTAGAGAGCTTGATAGGATGGTTTAATCTATTTAGGCCGCGAACAAATGAGATTGAAGGAGAAATTAAAAGGGGTCACTTTGTCGTGACTGAAAACAACCTATTAAATGCCAGAGGGTGACACGTATCAAATGCAAAGGGGCCGTCTTAATTAGGTTTACACTCATTATTTCTATCTACTCAAGTCTTCCAAAATAAACAAAAGATCTCTGATCTCTACCGGCAGAAGAGAGCTGCTTGTCATATTTGCAACTGTTCTGCTTAAGCTTAGATAAAAAAAGGATAAGATTGGGGGCTGATCATTGCTAACATAACCAATGCGTGTCAGGAAAATGTTAGCATAGTTGGTTTTAAATGTTGTCATGTGTCCTACAAGTCTGTACAGTTGATCAGATCAGCTGAAGCTTATAGGGAATCCAAATGTTTTGGATTGTTGGGTGTTTCTGTCTCTGCCTTTGTTAAGCGCTATGAGATGACTTGTTGTTGTAAATAGGCGCTATACAAATAAAATTGAATTGAATTGAATCAGGAATATACATCAATCAGGTGATAAACTTACGTATGCACGGTCGCAGAGGTGACCTTCCCTGTTTGTATCCCGGGGCACAGCGGTTACACCTGAGGCCAGTCACTCCATCTCGACACAAACACTGACCCGATGTCTGGTTACACCAGCGACCCACCGCTCCCAGAGGATGGCACTGACACGCTGGAAAAGAAACCAGAAACTAATGAAGCAGCATAACAGGTTCTTTTGTTTAGTAACTTTGGGGGTTGCTAAAGAAGCTTCAAATCCAATATCAACATATCATCACCTTACACTGTGAACAGTTGCTTATTTACACATCCAGCAGGCGTGGCACAACAGCATTAAGTCATCCATCTGACACCTCTATGTACAAGATTCAACTTCTCTTTTAGCTCAGTTTTGTTCTCCACCAGCCCCTGAGGTAAAAATGCTTCAGAATTTCTATCGCTGTAACTTTGCCTGTTTGCCGACAGCAATGAAATAAGTGAGAGCGATCCAAAATAAGCAGCCCATAAAACAAAAACAATGAGCTGAGACGTGCTAAGATGCCATAGTTGAAGGGAACTCTCGTCATTTCTTGAAAGATATATTAGGAAAAAAAAAAACTTGAGTTAAGCTATGTGACACGAAACAGATAGGATTAAGAAGAGCATCCATCACTGGCAGGGTCTAGGTTTAATCCTGAATGACAGCAGGCATCTGTCCTTAAGGGGTGTCCTTGAACAAGACAAAAGACCTTTACTATCACCACAGAGTTTATTTTGTAGCTGTCTTGATAGGTGTGCAAAGACAAATTCCTCCATGTGGGAACCAGAGAGAACGAACTGCCTTCATCCAGACGAAGACCAATCCAGTCCGTTCCTAATGAATTCATTTTGTCTTTTTTTTCCCCCCTCCGTTTGGGCCGTGATGCTGTCTAATGATTACTGCCTGGATTTGCCACGGTTTACATTGCAAAGCTTTTTATTTACCACTACTATCACAGGATAAGACTCGATGAGAGAAGACAGATAGAGAGAGGAAGCCGCACTTCAGCAGCTCTGTTAACACTCGAATAATGTTTACTCAAATCCTCACAATAAATCCAAACAACCTGACTGGAGAAAATGAGTGATTATATCACCACTCTCTAAATGGTAACTCAGTGAGTATAGCGCCAGTAAATTAAAGCTAAGATGTAACACTGTGTTGTTGAGCTTATGAATTGGCAAGTGAGTATTATTTCTTGCATAAATAGTGATAAACAATGAGGATGTTTAATTCGAGCTTACATTTTATCTCAGGCCCGCACATGTGTAAACTCTGAGAGGCCATTAAAACCACGGATATATACGACCAGCAGTCGAGCTTCCACATGCTCCAGTGTCACAGTCACTCAGGACATGTGACCAGTCAAAGGTCAGGGGTCGCATCGGATGCCAACTGGTGGTAACGATGTGGGGGGGGATACAGGTGGCAGCAGCTCGGTGGGGTTTGTGTGTCTTTGTGTGCGTATCGCTAACAGGAATAGCTGTCCCCTCTCACAATGTAACCACCCCATAAACACTTCTGTACGCTCGGACGGAGACAGAGCGGTCATGTAAACGCACACACAGCCACGCAAATTCAGCAAGTCAGACATAAACACTGTCACACAACTCTGATTTGCTTTTCATCTTTCAGGAATGTACAGTCAGTCAAAGGTGAACGTCGTGCACTTCCTCCGTCACCTCAAACAGGGACGGAGCCAAAGGGGTGGCCACCGTGGACCGGTCTATTCTGGCCACCTCACACAACCAATAGTGGAGCTCGTTAGAACGCACATTCACAGAACTGGAGATACATACAGTAGCTACTTTCGCCACATAGATGCATATTGGCATTTTAGCCAACCTCCATTTTAAGTAGTTCTGACCATCCGGATAGTATTTACGATGATTTGAAGCGATTCAAAGATTTCTTGTATTGTCACTAAAAAATGTATAGGCACTATTAAAAGGCATCTGTTTATATATGTAAATGAAGTACGTGATATTAGTTAAATTGTGTATGATGTAGTTGTTGCTGTGGATTTAGTTGAAGCTCTTGTACAGACTCTTAAAGACCATATGGGTGAAACCTACTTTGGAAACAAGAGGGGAAAACTGCTGAAACAATGCAAGAGTGACCCAGAACCCGCAGCTAAAAGAAAGACAAGGCTGGACGGACATGTGTGATGTCTCATCTTTGTGGGTGTCCAAAACAGAACAAGGACAGTTTTGACACAAGTGTCTTACACGTACTTATCCCTGGTGATTTAATTTGCAATTATGTTATGACCTTTTATCAACAATTAGAAATCGTTAGCCTCATAGCATAATTGCCTAAGTCATTTTTTGGTCAAATTGAGATAATTGCCTAACTTTATTCTCCTATCACTTCTGCATCATCCTGTCTTTCTACCTATGTCATTGGCCAATCACATCTGGTTGAATGTACTGTTAAAAAATCAATAATAAATACCAATGTCATTTCTAAAAATTGTGTTTTTTCTCATTTCCCAAAAACCTGAAAATATGACTTAGGCAAGTATGCTATGAGGTTAACGAAATGTAGAACTCTAGCTACCATCCCAGCCTTTTTAGTCTATTAAAGGGTACCTTGCATCAGATCTCACACATTTCTACATGACAGTGTGGCCTTTATAAGTAAATGATGAATTAGTGACAAAAAAATCGCCCTCAGCGATTTGATTAAAAACAAACCATAAAACAAAAAGTCAGAGACTTTGTGCCATCCCAATATGAGTAATACTTCAACTTGCCCACCCCTATGGAAAAAATGTCTGGTTCCACCACTACAGCCAGTGCAGCCACTGCTGTCGACCCCCACTGCACACATCTAGTGACTCACGCTGGCAGGCCTTGCGGTGGTTGAGTGCCTTGCTGTGGTCGCGGGTGTATCCATTCTGGCAGTACTGGCAGTGGCGACCGGCCGTGTGGTGGCGACACTTCTGGCACACACCTCCACTGCGCCTGCCCGACTGCTGAAACACCTCCATGCTGAAGCGGCATTTGTTTGAATGGCCGTTACACTCGCAAGCTGGACAAAGGAAAAAAGAATGAGTGCCAAAAAATGGAAAATAAATCACCTCTGACGTTTTGGATCAGTCTGTGTTAAATGTACAGGCCCAGGGGTGGATAAAAACATGAGGAATGCTCAAGCTGATTCGAACAGTTTGTTTTTAACATAACCTTAAACAAGCAGAAATGTTTGATGTAGTCACATTTTTGGCAGGGTGTGTGTTAGAGCTGGGCTGCAGATATCATTTCTCCATCACAAAGTGTGTTTTTTCATTTAAATGTCCCTCTCAATATGCATACAACTTCATCAACAGCCAAAATGTAAGGGATTCCCATCAAAATGTTTTCAATTAATGTTTTTAAGTAAGAAAAAACAGAACAGTAGCTGACATGCTGTTTTCTTTTTTAGATTTTTAAACTCTCGAATACTGGCATCTGGCATCTCTCAAAAATCTAGTACTGTCAAGTCTACTGTTGGATATGGAAAATATTATTGTGAATGTTGAAAGCAGATGTCTGGTTTAAACAATTTCAGTGACTTCACTTGCTGGATTAAAGTCAGAGCCCTGGTCACCATATACATGTAGAGATTGTCTAAACTCTATGCTACATCTACAGTACACAATAGGTGTAATATTTGTTATAATTTAGATTTTTTTTTTCTTAAAAAAAAAAGAGAGGGGAAAAATAGCAAATCTATGATATAAAAATATACATTTGACCTTTTACACATTTGTTCACGCGACTTACTGTCAGCCCCCCATATGCCTTTTGTTTTTCATACTTGTGTTGCACTACATTTTTTAAAATGTGGGTAAAAGGCTCACCAACACAGGGGTTTGGATGAGTGGGTGTAGCTCGATGCCATGGTCTGTCAAAGTAGAAATCCTCACACACATCACAGTCCGGCCCTGCTGTGTGATGCTCACACACGCACACTGCATGGCCTGCGTCGTCACGGCGACACCTGGAAGCATGTCCATTGCATTTGCACCTGCCTCCAACCTGCAGGTCGGAGAGGGCGAGCGGGGCTCGCATAAGAGACATAAAAGCAGGTGGTTGTGCCACCTGCAGATTCCGGACACTTTGTCTCGTGTTGAGATTATTGTTCCTCCTCTTCCTCAATTCCCGCCCTCTGTTGCTCCTGCTCTGCCCCTCAACTGACCAATTGCAGCCTCCATTGGGGCAAGGCAGCCAATGATTGTTGTCCTTCTTGCGACCACGCCCTCTGCCTTTCCCACCTTTTTTTGGAGAAGCAAGTGTGTCCATACTTAAACTATCCCCCCCTTCCTTGCTGGTCACGTTGTGCCCATCTTCGCCTTGACCTGTACCTTTATAGTGACCCTTCCTGCCCTGCTTATCTATCCTCTCTCCTTTGTTCCTCCCCCTCCTTTCTGATTTTTTTGTCTCCCTGTCAAAAAATGCCAGTGTATTATCTGTGTTTAACTTATCAACCTGATCTCCAGTGCGGCCCTTGTAGCCTGATCTCCACCTCAGAACACCAGTCCCTCTGAGATCATGTCCTCCATCTTCCATCGTATCCAAGTTGCCCACCTTGGTGTCTTTGGACACCTGGTGGAAGACCACACGGATGTCTGTGGCTGTTACCCAGTCCTGAAGAGTGGGGCTGTAGTCAAAGTCAGGAGATGACGGTCGTCCGTCCAGGGTAGAGAAGGCCAACACCATCCCACCCCGCTGTCTCTGCAGGGGCCGAGGGTCTGAGCAGAGGGGCTCTGTCTCTTGGTGTCTTGTTTTGGCTATGGTCTGAGAGGGCAGCCTAAAGTTCTCAAGGCAGTTGCTTGAGTAGTGTTGCATTGGCCTCCAGGTACGCCCGTAGTCCATTGACTTGAGGATGGAGATGGAGATGGGGTCTGATGGCTCTCCTTGGTGGCAAAATTGCAAACTAATGTAGGTGATCTCAAAGCGACGGCCCAGTGGTAGCGTAAGGACCCAGTCCCCGGTGTCAGGACCTGTATGAGCCATCCAACAGGTGAGATTGTGGGGGTTGTGGAGGTCAGTCAATGTGGTGACGTTGCTGTCATAGTCAGGCCCTGGTAGCGAGTGGCTAGCATTGACCGGGACCCCATAGGCAGCGTTGATGAACTCTGACAGGCAGTGTCGTGGACGGCCATCTGGGTGGTAACAGGGGTCATGTGGCGAAGTCCAGCTCAACGGGGTGTGGGAAAGGGGAGAGGAGATGAGGGACGGAGGGAGGAGAAGGAGGAGTAGAAGGAAGACAGGAAAGAGAAAGGTGGAGGGGGGAGGGGAAAAGGGTAGGAACATCATGTCATCGAGCCTGAGGAAGAAGAAAAAAATTTAAGAGAAAACCATGGGAGCTAGATCATAAAAGGAAAACACAACATTAACTGATTGATTTATATGATGCACATTTGAAGTCAAAGACGGAAATCCAAGATAGACCACCTGTGCCTTTATTGAAAACACATGATACCAGCTCACTGCATCACTTCAACTGCATCTTATTGGCTTTTGCTAGATGCCAGTAAAGATCTCATCCCGTAAAAATGTAATCTCCGATCCTCACAGTAGTATCAGCCACCGGTTTGAACCCATAACCTTGACAACCCTCATGAACGTATCCATCTTAAAACTCCCCTCAACCCCAAAGTGTGGGTGAAGAAGGGCGCGCACCCAGCGGGTCTGTCTGAAATGACAAAAAACATGCCCGACAGCTGGGCCTAAACCCAGAGCTGGACCACATCAATCACATTTATTGCTCTCTTTGCAAATCATTTTACCCTTGGTCAGTGCTGCAGGCGAAGGGCCTGAGCCCGAGCAGTGTGCAGTGTCACCGTAGAGAATAGAGAGTATGAGAAAATAGACAGAAAGGAAAGAGGGGAGGGAGGAAGAGGAGCTGGAGATTAGTGCTTACGATGGTATGAAATGATTTATAGTTCGAAATGTGTGTTCGACTTGAGCCCCTGCTTGGGTACTTCCGTGGTAAAGACAAACACAGACTTGTGTAAGGCCACAGTGCGAACAAATCCCTTCCCGTCTATTACAACTGGTGATGAATGTAATTTATTTTTCTGTCATGACTTGATACTGGAGAACATTAATTCTGGCATGTGGACAAAATGAACAATGCACTTAGTTTCTCTGAAACCAGTGATTTATTGTTTTTAACCACTCACACAAATGCCCAGAAGCACATTTCCCAACAAGCCTTTCTGCTTGTTTTTTTGCAGAGAAAGTTCATCACCTTCTGTTTCACTTTTGGGAAATTCTCATTTCTTACCTGTCATTTTCTCATCAATAACTACCTTCCGTCCGCATTTTCAAACAACTTTCCCCTCTGCTCTTCCATCTCCCTGAACATCTATCACCTGCCCCCTTCATTCTGTTCTGGGAATATTCTTAACTGCTGTGAGATTGATGGTGTCCTAACAAGCGTTTGACACTGACAGCAAAGTCAGCAGGGCTGCATAAACCAAACCCGTAGGAGAGGACGGGGCTGAGAGCCTCTCCGGCCTCGTCATCCAGCTCAATTAGCCAACAACCGAAATATGAGGCTTCCCTCTGGGACCACACAGCTCTGAGGGGCCTGCCTGCGGAGGCCATAGCACTCCCTCGGCTGCCTTGGACAAACTGCTCCGTTCCTGACCTCCGAAAAACAAAGACTTGCTGGAAAGTGAACCAACCAAACGCGGTTGAGGACAAAAGGGGAAGATCAGGCCTATCGTGCGACTGTGTTTTGAGGTGTTGCTACAGGAAACGCTACAAGCGGCGAGTACGGTGATGAGTGGTCTGACTGTGACCCTGGTCCCACTGAGCCACATTCCTAGGGTCCAGAATGCCTCGGCTGGTCATTCCTGACATGTCGAGACATGCCCCACGGGAACGTGAACGTGCGGATAAAAAGCAAGACCTATAAGTTGATCGGGTGATTAATTAGGTCTCTGATTTCATGCAGTGTCGATATACTGGTCGTATAATAACGGAAGATGATTTCAAAGGGATTGAGAGCAGGGCAAAGGTTATTAGAGGATTCAGGGAAGCGGCGGAGTGTTGAGATTACACTAAAGAATTCTTCTGGATGGGGAGTTATGAGTGAGCGTAGGCGGTTGGGGTTCAGGGTTGGGGCGGGTGAAAACACACAAGGCTCGAGGAGAATGGGGAAGGTTGTTTAACATTCCCATGACATGCACTTGCTCTTGTCTTTGTCACATTACATGACTAATTAAACATTGGCCCATTACAACCACTTTGATAAATGGATGCTCATCTGAGAGAGGCCCCTGAGGTTTTTAATGCGCCCCTCTAGGCCAAATCCAGACTCTCTCCTCTTCCGAAACCAGATCATCTGTCTGGCACCACCAACATAACCCACCGGATACGGTTTCAACGTTTTTTCTCCGCCGCTTTCCATAAATTCACACAGCCGGCATGTCGGAAGAACATATTAAAGATGAACGGATTCCTTATTAACGGGCACTTTTGATGAGAATAGCATGCATAACTTTTTCTTGTTAATGCGTCTTAGCTGCAAACCGAGGCCTTGCTTGAATATCATCCCTACGGTTGCAAAAATAAAAACCTAAAATGCAAAGAATAACGATCTATAACACAAAGATGCATTCATTTTTATGACTCTACTGAGAAAGTTTTGAAATAACTTGGCAGTAATTCGTCTTTCAAATAGCTTATACAGCCAAATAGTGGTGTGATGAGATCAACAACATCTCCAGCGGGTGATCTTTAGAAGCAGCTATGCTTGGCTGGCAAGGGGCTGGAAAAATACTTGCTGACAACCTGGGGGCATGTTTACAGCATAGTCGAACAGTGGAGAGCGAAGAGAACGACGCTCGTGTTCGTGCTCTGCAGTCTCCGTTTATTTCGGAGGGACGAAACCAAAGAGTTTGATTAATAGCGTGGAGCAGCTTATGCTCATACGTTGTCTTGCAACACTCAGTCCAAGTAGATCTAGTTGTGCCTTTTCTTTTGTCGATAAATGCAAAAATATCGATGTGAATTTGCAAAATTAATTGCAAATTTAAAATAGAAAAATTATATGTGGAGTATTTACCTCCTCCACGCCAGTATTATAGCAGTTATGTCTGTGTTGTTACTGGGCTATTGAGGAAAATGTCTAAAAATTAGGAACAATGATGCTCTTTCTATGTACGTGCATTGCCGTTCTTTATAGATGCTTGTTTTGGGTTATGCCTGTTTCTGTAATTCAATTTATTTTTTGCATTGCATGCATTTTGTTTTATTATGAACACTTGTTTTAACAATCCAACAGGAAATAAAAGCGGATGAGCAGCAGAAAATGCAACTCACCTGACAACCAAGCAGCAGTGTGAGAATTTAACACTGATTTGATTGATGATTTGACTTTTTTTAAAAAAAAGCATTTTTCTTTTGCAACACGTGTGATTTCCTGCCAACCGATGAAAGCTTTATTTTGAAATCCAATTAAAGCCGGTGTGTGTGGCATTCCCTGTTGCTACCTGCTAACTCGCTCTGACCTGTTCACACTTTAGAGCTGCAGGCCTGTCTGAATCTGGAGCTGTTCTGGTGAGCAGATGAGCTGGATTTGGCCTGTCTCACACATTTTAACATTCCTCGTCATGGGCAGCAGCTCCGGCCCGCCAGACGGAGGGAAAATGTATTGAATTCAAAATGCACTGCTACTTTGTGACGAGTTTCAAAGGACTAAATCGTAGTAAATAAACACGAGGCCGTGCAGTTTAATACGACAGGTTTATATCAGTCTGATGGTTGCCAGGAAGACTTCCCAGGCTTCTACGTTGCAACTCCGCTCCAAGACACGGAGCCTTTAAATAAATATGATCAATTATATAAGCTCTCTCTTATAGCTTACATGTTTGAAGCTGAACCAAAGCACCTGTTGGCACATGTTACCAAACTGACACCTTTGTTAATTTGCAATTGTCCTCAGCCGTCAGAAATACAACACTGGAATCTGGGTGAGAAGAGAGAGGCTATGCATGCGGTCTGTATTCCCAAACTGCATTCCTGCCTGCACAGTCGAAGCCCATGTGTGTGTTATTCCACACGGAGCAGATTCCAGGGGTTCTGTTTTAGGTGTAATAATCTAATTTTAGTGGGGCAGCCCAAGAGGTGGAAGCAACAGACAGCACAAAATGGATTATCACTGCTTGTATCTTTAGCTAAAGGCCTCCGTCCTTCACGTTTACACCTCCGACAAACTGCCAACCTGATGCATGCGCGAGGCCCCCAGGGGCCAACTGTACCTCCACAGGCACTTGGAAGGTGCCTCTGCCTCTGCAGTGACCCAGAAGCTTTGCTTACTTCACTTTTAAATTAAAAAAACACATGTTACCCGCTTGATATTTAAAGGCGAGTTTCCTGTCAAATCTCCCCCTTTACAGCCTCACAAGTTGGCAAGACGCTTTCCATGCAGCTCCAGCTTCACATGATGATATTGAAAAACAGATGGAAATGAAATCATTGTGATTCCATGTTGCAGTCAGGCCAAAGACAACTTCGGGCATGATGGGGGGAAGAAAAAAAAAACACCCCCAAAAGAGCAGCAAGGCCTCTGGTTTTAATTGTGGTTCAATTAAATTGCACACAGTGTCATGAAGTGGGTTAATAATGAAAATCATAAAGCTAAACAAAAACACTGCAGGGCTGCAGCATTTATGAAAACAAATAAAAGGCACCCATGACCTGTGTCAGCTAATTTATTATCTAATCTGGTTTTTAAAAAATGATTATAAAAAGAAAAACACAGCTTGTGTTAATTAAGTTTCACAACCGCAAATGTTGGAGGCTCTGGGTGTAACATTAATTCTCTATATGCTTAAAGAAAGGAGCAATTTAACTGTGTTTTTCTTGCAAATGCTGCAAAGGGATTTTAGTCAAACTAAGGAACTGCAAACGGACCTTAAAAGGCAAACAGCCTGCAGTCACATGTAGGTTGCATTTAAGCAGAGCCTAATGAGTCACTTGTCACGGTTCATTAAACGTACATTTTTATCATATTTACTTTGATTACTTTGGCAAGAGCTGAGAGTAAAGCAAGGAGACTAATTGCCTCAATTCTTTCTCAGATAATTGCACTTGTTCTGCAGAAATTGGCTGCACTCAATTAACTTTATCTCACAGAGAGGAACAATAACATATATATGTTGAAGCTATCACAGCTGGATCAAACAGCTTTGCTGAGATTTTTTTTATTATTATTTTAAATTGTTGATAATTAGTCGTGCATGTGTTTGGCATTTAGGATAAATTATATAGATCAGGGCCAAGACAGTCCAGCTGGAATTTATGATCATAATATGTTTTGACATTTTATTTTACATTATAACCTGCAACTGAATGACATAATGACAAGAAACGACATGCTTTAAATGTATATATGCACATATATTAAATACACACGCACTGATGGATGAACTTGCCTCAGTTGCGCAAAAAGTTCTTAGGGGGTATTTTTGTTTTTTTTTTCTTCTTTAAATTAAAATGGCAAGTTTATTTTTTTAAGTTGACATTTAAATGCATTTATATTTATATTATATCATATGCACACATATATGTATAAGACAGCACTGAACGCAATAATTTACTGCGTCTTATAGGTTCATTCACCCAAACTGAGTTAAACTACAAATAAAATTAAAAAAAAAAGAATGAAACGCGTCTATCACCTGAATTTCTTAAAATAAGTTGATCAGCGATATAAATATACATATATATAAAAAATCCAACTACATAGTCTGTTTAGTAACCTGGTGGATGTTTCAGATTTAAAGTTTTACATTTCTCATATAATATAATTTATAAGGCATATTTTGCACATGTTTTCTTCTAAATTACGAACTTATTTTTGCCCACAGTGACAAAAAAGAAAAGAAAAGAAAACAAAAAAAAGAAGCAGCCACAATCTGGACTTGCGGCTCCTTCGCTGCGTAACTTCCAGCGCGACTCCAGCAGAGATAAAACTTCACAACCATCTTCAAGCAGCCAATCACAGACGTCCAACCGATAACATTTCGAAAGGGTGATGCAAAAAAAAGAAAAGAAAAAAAAAATCAATCTCAAGAGCTCACCATGTGCCTCCCAGTGATTCTCCTTCTCCCGACTTCTTCGGTCCCTCCTGATCATGAAGAAGAGCGCAGCAAGTGTCCGCACATCCAGCTCGTCTTGCAGGGGAGCAGAAGGCAGAAGACAGAGCTGCCGAGAGGGGGCAACACGCCGGGTACTGGAGGAGGAGAGAGAGAGTGAAAGAGAGAGAGAGAGAGGAGGGCAGGAGAGGGGGTGCGAATTAACGGGATCAGCTGGGAGGTGTCTCTTCTAATAGCAACTGGATTGAGCCAAGAGCTCCCACCTCCAGAGGAGTCACAGTGTGCCTGACGCACGGCGCGCCACAGCCAAACTCAGACCCCCAAACTTTTTTTTTCTCAAAAAAAATCCGTGGTATGGATTTCTGATACTTTACAGTTAAATATTCAGGTTTGAATTGTGCTTAGTGTCATGTTGATTCCCACAAAACATTTTGTTTATCATCCTAGTTGGGTGATTTTTTTCCCAGGTGATGGATCAGATTTTTTTTCTTTCTGTCTTTTAGTACAAATGCATCCAAATGTGAATTGTACACTGCAGATTAAGTTCATTTAGATTTGAAATATCTACTTTCTTCCTGCATTTGGAATGATACATATAAAAAATTTAATGTTTTGTGGAGAGGAGGCAGATTCTAACTGTACGGCCCTCAATCGAAGAAGTTCTTTTCTGACCATTTTCAACTACATGTTTTGTGTGCATGATACTTGCATGCACCAAAAAGTATTTTCTTTTGTACTTTTGAATTGCACACACTTAACTCGCAGCTACAAGCATTAAATCCCACATTGATCTAACAGAGACACTTACTCATTCCACTGGAGACTCAAGTTTGGAATCAGATGAGATCATTTTGTACAATATTTCAGATTAAACCAGCCAACAGGATGTAACATTGTTCAAATTAGTTCCGCAACTGCAACATTAAAATACTGCTTTTATAGAGGCATTGAGGCATCAGCAACAATAATAATAAAAAAGTAACAGGAAAAGGTTTTTGTGCAAACAGGTTGCTTTTTATTTCAAACAAGTGGCATTTTTTCACCCCAACTCTGGCAGTTTTCCATCTTTAAAAGAGAATTTTAAGACTTAGTTCAACATTTCATGGCTTGTTAAGTACATTTTTTTTACACAGTGCAGATCCTCCACCTTCAGTTTTATTACCACTGGCGGGCAAATTGAGGACACAGAGGAAACTCAGTTGCGGTAGTCTTATCTCATATCATCCGGGCAAAGATCTCATTCTGCAGTTTGCTCCAATTATCCCTCAGTGGAATAGGAAAAATGGTTAATTGACCGGAGTGGATTGTTCTCAGATGTGAAGCAAAACTGATACAGATGGAAATATTAGAAAGAGAATCGAAGCGGAGGGTTGGGGGAAGGAGGGAGGACGCTTGATTGGAGAGGAGGAAACTTTCCCAGAGAAAGACATAAAACTGATTGATGGCTTCCCTGGAGGAATGTTTCCCCAGGTGTGCTTAGTGTGTGCGAGCGTGTTCGAGTGTGTGTAGTTACAGCGCTCTTAAGAAATGCTATCCTTGGACGCAGGACAAGTCTAATAAAGAAAATTGAGGGGTGAAACAGCACGTTTAAGTGTCAATATTGCACTTTGGCAACATGGATACGACGACGGGAGAGGTTTCAGTGGTCTTCGCTGGAAGTGGAGATAAACTGTTACCTTTAATGAATGAGTCCAAAAACACAAATGCAAACTAATAACAGAAATCATCCCTAGAAATGATATAGGAAAGCTGCTTAATAAAAATGTTTAACTGCTTAATAAAGCTCTTACGGTGGCCCATGACAGGTGCTCCGTGTTGCCAAATTCTGCACCCTGCAGCTACGAGTGTGCTAAGAGACTGCAATCACAATAAACAAAATACCATGACGGTGTAATTATAAAAGTCAACATTAACTGACAGAATAGGAGCACATTTCACAATCCTCTGTTTGATGGATGAGCTGTGCTTAAATATTTAAAGTACTATTATATGGCACTGGAGCTTGGTTTAACCATCAGCTACGGGCACAGAGTTGAAATCAATTATACGTGCATGTACTGACTACATTAATTTCTCAATTATTATGAGCAAAGAAGCACAAGTTGAGAGCTTTAAGGCATCTTTTTGTTTGGAAATAATTGCAACACGTGTACAAGTAGAATTAACACTGTTAGGGTGAAGGTTTACAAGACAAAAAGACAAAAAGTTCAAGAAAAATCTCAAAGCCAAACCAATGAAAGCTGAGATGAGCTGAATCTTGTGTGTCGAAGTAGTTAAAGAAGTAAATGGCACCAATTAATCTGGAAGACTCTTAATAAATACAGAAGCGTGATCTTTAACTCAGAGAAAATGTAAAGTTAAATAAGGACAAAGGGTGTGTCTCAAGGATCAATGTCGGGTCCTCCACAGTTTTGCATATTTTTTATTGGCAGGGCAAAAATGCAAACGTATGCTGATGCCACTGTAATATACACATCTGCAAAAGCAGTTGTAAAACTGATAACTGCTTTGGAAAGAATGACAAGGTTGACTGTTGGCATTCTGCCCGAACCAACATTCAAGCCAATTATGCTGACATTCTCATCAGAGGCAAAAACATAAAGACTTACGTTAGACATCTTACTGTAACTGTGCACCCGAAAGTAGATGTAAAATGATAAATACTGTTATATCTTGTCACGTTAAAGACAAATTTTGAAATTCTTTAAATAATCTCTCTTTAAATGCTGTCAGTATGGGTATGCTGAGGCCCTTTCCCACATGAACAGCCCATTACTTCTATTAATAAGCAAAACTGATGGATAAAAAGATATTTCAGTGTCATCATTAGTGACCCTTATGAAAAATATTCTATAGAGCAAATTTGGGATTTGAGTGTAACATGTTGCAGGATTTTGGCCTTCTTCTGTTGACTAAAATAAACCCAAGGGGGTCAAAAATGGTTTAAATTTGAGCTAAAGTGTGAAGTAAAGAAATAAATGTTAAAGCTATACCATCTGATTGTGTTAATTTTTGTTCTGCCAAGCTGGTGTTTATTCTGATCCTCCATCACAGCAGCGTCTTCTGGAAGTAAAGCAGAGAGAATAAAACTTGCTTTGCATTTTACTTGGAGATACCGAGGTCCAGAGGATGTAAGCAGATCCTCTGTTAACGTGGAAATGTATCTCACATGTCAGGGATCAAGCAACCCCCTCCCATCATCTGAGCAGATCTTCAGAGAGATCATGTTCTCTCCCCTTCGGTGTGCAGCAGTATGGAGAGGATGGAAATAAGCTTCTGACTTGGACTTTAACAAGACCATGAGTTGGTCCGGATGGAAATTGTGATAAAAACAAAACAAGCATTCCTTAAGATATCTACATTTCTTCACAGGTAACTTGAGGTGTTTTTCTGTTTCTACACAACAAGAAAGATGTCTTTTAAAAAAACAAAACAAAGAAACAATCATGAGTGTTTTGGCTCTAAATCACGGTTGGCACAAAGAGCAGAGTGGAAAATTATCCTGGTTGCCATGAATCCAGATGCAGTGTTTTTGTTTTCCCAAAGTTCCCCTCACTTTTGGTCTGGCACATGTGTTGACAGGTGTTGAACTGTGATGGGGAGCAGACTGTTGCTCTACAAGGAGGGAAAACTCACCAACAAACCGCAAGTCAACCTGCCGAGTTCAAGGATCGAGAGAGAAGGTTAAAAACGTCCAAGTGGTTTTGCTTCTGTGCTGCTTATGAGGATATAACAATACCTCGTCTTCGAAGGGGAACGGGTAGATGACGGATAATTTGTAGTGGGCATCGCTCGAAGTCCAGATCTTCCTCCAACAGCTACGTATTGAGTCAAACATTTAGCACTAAGACGTTGGTTCTCCCCTCATTTCCTGTCAGATGCTGGTCGTCTTTTGTCATTGTGGTTGCTTTGGGGTAAATACCACACAGGTGATGCTGCACTTCTGCTGCATTTAGTGTCAAATCAGGTCACAATTTCTTCTTCTGCTCCTATATGTTATGAATAATGTGAAGAAAAGTGATTTTGCAAGTTGACCTTTTGGATGTCATTGCCTTCTCATTTTATCCAAAAAGACTTTGGAGTGATTTAGCAAATGAATCCTTAAACTTTCATCAGTGCATTCTTAAGTCCAAGTGCCAAAGTTGAAGAAATTTACTTAAAAATCATGAGAAAAGGACGTATTTCCTCACAGACGACTTGAAAACACGCCTCTGGCCACGGCTGAGCTGTTTCAGATGCACAAAAATGGAAGCTTTGGCATCATCCTAGTCACTGTTGTGTGTCTTGTGGGAGTTTTATCGCCAAAGGAAGCTGTGTACAATACATTGATGTTGCCAAATGTGGATATTCAAAATCTCGTTATGAAAGGTTGCCAAATAAACACCTTTCAAGCCTTTGTTTGAGCGATCTTATCAGTTTCATTGTGAATAACCATTATGCAGCACGATGATGAAAGATCACGAAAATATCCAAACAGTGAAATCACAATGAGACTGAACAAGTTAAAGGAGTGTAATACCAAATGGTAAAGGAGAACAGCAGCTAGAAATACTAAATATGTCTTTATATAACCAAACGACTGCTTTTTGTTGATCACAGTTTTTCTGTTTATTCATAAAAAGCTGCTGACTGTGCAAATATACATTCACATGACTGGATTACATGCAAAACACTTGATATTTCAAATGCATCCACAGGTTTAGTCTGCAAGCAAGCCACGAAAAGGTCAAAAAGTTCAGCAACACAGTCCTCATCGGGGGGAGCGTTTACCTGTCTGCTCGCTATTTTCTATCTTTTTTTTTAAATAAACGACTTATACGGATTCTTGTGATTCCCACAGCTGTCAGCGTTCCTCGGAAGAAATACGATTGGACCCAAGGTGGTTTCCCTGCGCAGCTCTGCAAGAAAACGCACCCGAGTTAATCTCGTGTTGATCTCTTGATTTACAGTCTGCCTGTTTTATGTATTTAGCTCTAAATGCGGCGCAGGATTCACCGTTCGGATCTCTTCTGCTCCTTTGCACCACCTTGTGGCTGGATTCAGTACTGCTGACGGCGTCATCGCAGCTCTCACACGCCTGGTCGTTACCATCCACTGATCTCCACCTGAAAAAACAGAAGAATAAGCTATAGCAAAATATATATAAATTTAAAAAAACAGCAATGATGTAGATTAACTTGCAAACACTGACCTGTCACTTATAAAAGAACAGGCCTTTTTCACCGGGTTGTTCTTTGGCTCAGCTTCCAGGTAACACGTGATGTACATCTACAGGAGACAGTAGGACACATGCTGAGGCTTTCTGTCTTCTTACAGATATTTAAAAGGAGGAATATAAAATGTAGATGCAGTGCTAACAGTGTGTCTGGGGTCCTGGTGGAAGAGGAAAGGCTCGAGCTGAATCTGGAGAAGATTGTTGTGAACTCGGGGCAGGAAACGAGAATTGGAGCCACTCAGCTGGGAATCCGTGAAACATCTGCACGGAGCAGACAGATCTTTATCAGATTTAACGTCTGCCCTCGGCTTTTATAAGAAAAAAACAAAACAAAACGGGACACAGGAACCTGGAAGATTTATAGCAGCAGTGTGTTCAAAAGAAGTAGTTTTAATTAACTAACTGGAGGAACTACTGCAGATTAAAGATACTCACCCCTGGTGGTCTATGAAGGGATATCTGGGGTAAGAATTCACGTCAGAGGTCAGAGTGGCCACGCAGCTGCTCACAAACAGGCGGAGAGGAAGATGACGGTGGTCTACGGAGGCCTCGATGTTGACCGTGTCACCTAGAAAATAGACGGACGATGGTCTCTCACTGTTCCAGTCATCTGATGAGAGAGGAGACGGAGATTTAAATAGGATTCGTTTACACTTTGGATGAAACAAATCTGTCTTTTAATATATTGATGCATCTTCAGTCATTTAGATTAGATTATATCCACATGACGTTTGTAGAAAAATCTCTGACTTCATATGTAAATGTTCCAAAAGAAAAAGAAAGGAAGGCTCTCCCACATAATATACAATTTTTATGTGATTTTATTAACTTCAAATGACATTTTCTTTCAGCTACATTGGCACATTTGTTGTATGTTAAACCACTCTCTTGCTCTCCACTCCATTTAGTTTCCAGAGCTGAGAACACAAGCTACATATCAAGTGCTCGTCCATTATCGACTTTAAAACAAAAACCCAAAATCAGATGCCCTCATTCAAACAGTCATTTCAAGCAATAAAACTGGCTTAAAAAGGATAAATTAGAAGAAATAATACATGTAAATAAAAATAGATATTCCCAAAAGACACCTAAATGATGAGAATAATAACATTTCCACCAAATCGGAGAGTTGTTGAGGTTACCATGTGAGAAAATACCCTCTCAGTTTGTTAAAAGAGGAGGCTAAGGCGTATTCAATTTTAGAATCATTACAGGAGGTTGTTTAGTGTGTCAGGGTGAAACCAACTCACCTGTCATGAGCCTGAGGTGGAAATCGAGGTCGAGATGAGCCGACTGGACGAAGGTGAAGGGGCTCCAGGTTGGCCTTAGTGCACTGCTGCTCACTGTGTATCTCCTACAAGTAAAAACCACAACTAACATTACTGAGAAACTGCTTCCATCAAAGCAACGTGCAGCCAAAATAATAAAACAAGCTTAAAGCATTGTAAGTCCTTTAATAGCATTGTTATATTATATGTTTCATTATGTTGAGTTCCCATGCTCATCGTGTAATACTTGAATTTTGTGATTTTTTTCTGATGTAAAACCCTGGAAACCTATAAATTAGAACTGATCTACCACCTGCTGCTGTATTAGTTTGGGTTCAGTCGTGCTTTTCAGCCCGGACGACAAAGCTCTCCGGCCAGGCTTGCAACTAAAACTAAACCGCATATTCCGCTGGCTCAAGTTTCTCCATTTGCCTCTTGTCACTTTCAGGATTTATCTTTTAAATTTCCTCACGTACAAGTCTTTATGTGATCTGGCCTTCTGAAACGCCCCAAGACATTTAAAGCATATGTGATCATGTTTATGTTGCTGGGACTGAGAAACTGAAGCATCTTTAAAAAAAAAACATCTGCACTGTAGGTTGTAAATGAATTTCTCCATCTATTTACGTTGTCTTGTTGGTTGTCTGTCACTGCTATCCTATTCTCTGTCACCCTCGACCCAACTGGTCGAGGCAGACAGCCGTCCTGCCTGAGCCTGGTTCTGCTGGAGGTCTTTCTACCTCTTAAGATCTGAGCTCTTGTTTGATATGCATTTTTTTTTTGTTTTACTTCTTTGCTATTTGAGATCAAATAGCAAAAGGAATTAAAAAAAATAATAATAATAATACAGAGAAAATAAAAATAGAAAAAATATATAAAAGACATATAACAATAAAACATATATTTAAAAAATACAAAGTAAACAATGACAATAATAAAATAATAATAGTAAAACAATAAAAATTAAAAAATTAACTACTGTGGTAATATAACCCAAAATGTGATACGATAAGAGATTAATGTGAAACAAGAGTTGTTCCTCTATGCTAGTACTATTATGATTGTTTACAGGGCATCTTTGGATTCAGTGGGCCTTTCCTTCTCCATTCAGCAAATGATTTGGGGTAGTATATAATAGGGTTTTAACCGTTTTAAATTAGTTAGGTAAACTAATATAACAAATAGTATTGTAAGGTCCTAACCTTAATATTTAAACTTTATAGTTAAAGTTTGTAACATTGATCTTATTTCTCTATTCGAAACCACTTTGGTCAATGACAGTTGTTTATAATGGGCTGTATAAGTAATGCTGACTTGACCTTTAACTCTATTTCCTGGCTGTTAGACACTTAGAAGCACCATCAATACATATAAAGCTCACTGCAAGACTTCTATGTATTATGTAAATGCACCTTTTGTATTCGCACTGCACCGAAATGGCAGCGCCCTCCACTTGGACGCCAGGTGACGATGGAGGAGGATAGTAGAGGAGCAGGTTGCTGTAAAGCACAGCGCTCTCTGTAAACTAAAGCACAAATGACAGCATTATCAATTAAAAAACACTAGGTGGCGGCAGGGTTAAACAACTTTGATCTGGCTTCGCTTCACAGCTGGAAAGCGACTACATCATTCTACTAAAGAGGCTCACCAACCATCACTTTGTTCCCACACTCGGCCAGTGGAGCTCTGATGATGTACTCTCCATTTCCAGACACCCTGGCGATGCAGCGATCCTGCACATCCCTGGCAGGTCCGAGCCTCAGCCGCATGGGCTCTGCTGGAAGGCCGGGGTCAAACAGCTGAGCTCTCATCACGACCTCAATGCTGTCCTCGTGGCATTTCAACACAAACGGTTCATCATCTCCAGCTGTAGCTATCTCTCCAACGGGATCCTCAAAGTGGGGATTGTCGGTGGTGTCGAGTGAGGTTGCTTCAAGAGCGGCCAAGTCAGGGAAGGACAGGAAAAGAGGCTTGGTTTGATAGCTGTAGCATTTTACCAGTGTAGACAGAACAGAAAGAAAAAACATGAAATAAACAGAAAGAAGAGACATCGTTTGGTGCTTTGACAACAAAAAAAGGTGTCAGCACGAGCCAAGAGGATCACGCCTGACACTAATCAACCTTGATTGGAGGGTAGCAGCGTCACCACAAGACTCAGACTTGACCTTACAACATTTGCTTTTGTATTTGGGGGAGAGTGGGGTAAGATGAGCCTGTGGGTTAGTTGAGCCTCCCTTTGTTTTTTGAAGAGGGATCCATTAAACTCTCCCAGTGAAGAGAAGGAGCACATGGAGTCAGAGGTGAGCACATTTTAGTTCACTAAACTGTATGTTTTTCATGGTTTTATGAGTGTTGAGTCTGAACAACTATTGAGAAATTTTAAACTATTTCCCACGTGTCAGTGCATTAGTGAGCTTTAATATGAGACTAAACTGTTGGCATGAAGTTACCTCTAAACTGCCTGTTTGTTAAAATGGTGGCAGTGTGGCTAAGTTGAGCCAGAAGGTTGGATGGAGGAGCGAAGGAGAAGGATGAGGGACTCATCCATAGAAAGCAGGTGATCAAGAAACTACCAGCACAGAAGGGAGCAGAAGTTTATATTCTCCTGCAGTGTGGATCAGTGGCATGTTTAATAGATTCCCGGTTGTGTGATGAGGATTACAGTGGATTTAATTTTGATCTTGCGAATACACCTGACAAGTGGGATGTTCTGTAATAAATCCAGTTCTGTGAGAATTTAAGTTAATTTTATTCTTTTACGAGCTTGATTATGTTATGAAAATGTGACATACACTGGCCTTGTGAAGAAAATAGGCCTTTGCAGTTGTCAAACTTCATTGATGGTGAACAGGAGTTTGTTCTAAAAATGTGGAATCCTTCGGCCAAGTTGACTTTTAAAGTTGCAGCCTTTATATATGTTGAAAAGTAGCCCAGTTTTGTAAAAATGTGGTCACTTTTAACATGATTTTGTTCTAGAATGTGTCATCTGAGGGCCTTATTGAAGGAAACTGGCCTTTAAAGTTGTACATTTTATCTTTAAATACAACTTTTAAGAGGTCATTTGGTATTGTATTTGTTTTGCTGTGATAGAGCGTTTTATGAGGTATGAAATTCTCAGTTTTGCTTCAACACAATCAATGATACAATTACCACAAAATATTTCCTCCAAAGGCTCAATCTACCCCTTGCCTTGAGCCAAGAAAACACTTCTTTTTTTTTTGGTTTATTTTAGATCCAGATCAATTTTTCCTACATCCTAAAGTATACGTACATGTTTTATTTTTAGACATTACTGTTATGCCCCCACTGTAAAGACACTTCAAGTAAAAACTGGCTCATCTTACCCTCACTCTCCCCTATATATTGGAATTTTCTGTTAAAAAAATTAAATATAGAAAATAACTGAACATCCAACAGTGTTGTAAAAAAAAGTATTTTATTCAATGTGAAAAAGCTGTACATACATATTGCATTTCAGGGCTGTAGTTTAGGTAAAAAATACAGATACGTCCCGTATATTGTTGGCATAAGGAGAGATGTAACAGAGGTTACACAAAATATAACACTGGAAAGGTCTTGTATTAAAATTAAAGGCGTTAAACTTTACTTGGAGTGTTGGAACAATTTATAGAAGGTTGACATATAAAAATAATAGTGTTAATTTGTAAAAGGCATCACAGCTGCAGTAACTTTTAGTAAATATACGTACCAGGAACACGGCTAAAAACACGTCTCGGTGCATAATATCAGCTTCTGTCCATTCATTTTCAGCTTGATGACCTAAATCAAATCTGAGGTGTAGTGTTGTTTTCTGCATTTTAATTTTTCGAATTTTTTTTTCTCTCAAAGTTCTCCAGCATCATGTGCAGTTTGTTCCTTTGTTTTCGCTTCCTCCTCTTCTTTTCCTGTTGCCTCCTCAGCCCCTCCTTTCCTCCCCATGTCTGCTTTCCACACCTCTTTGAGACATTCTGAGGAAAGAAGAGAAAAACACATGAGGAGGAGGTTGAAGCTACATAGTTTACTCTTTGCTCAGTTCACTTTTATTGTTCAGACTTTAGAGAGTTCATGGACTAAAATGTGCAACATTTTTACATGGAAAAGATTAAAGTGCTCATGTGGTTCTCTTGACCTTCTAAAAGCAAACCTCTGTTTAACAGACGTTTAAATGTATTTCTCTTTGCTATTTGTTGTTAGTTTCTCTTAAGTCTGGGAAAGTACCCTTTGTCATCTGACACTGTAATCTGAATTTATTTCTAAGAAAAAAAAATGTAGAAATGAAACTAGACTTCCAACAAATCAATAATTCAGCCCTGATTAATCGTACCATAATTGAGAGTGAAATTAAGCAACAAAACAAGTGATGAGTTAGTCTTTAAAATGATAGTAATGAAACCTCTTCAAATTGCTTTTCTTTAAAAAAAAATCCAAACATAAACCAAAAATCTAAACATTTTAAACTTACATTGATTTAAAACAGAAAAAACATCAAAATCCTCACATTGGAAGAGCTGTGAACAGAAAATATTGGGCATTTTTGCTTGACAAATGACTTTGTTCATAAAATTATATTTCAATCAAAACCCCAGTAGACTTTATAATTTAAGTCCTTGTCATTTTAAGCTGAGGTGGCTCAAAAGTAGGGCTGTAACTAATAAGTATTTTAATTGTCAATTAATCTGTTGGTTATTGTCTTGATTAATTCATACGTTGTTTGGTCTATAAAATGTCAGGAAATGGTGAAAAATGTTGACCAGCATTTCTGAAAGCTCCAAAAGATGTTTTCAAATATCTTGTTTGTCCACAATCCGAAGATATTCAGTTTACTGTCATGGAGGAGTAAAGAAATCAGAAAACAATAAAACCTAAGAAGCTGGAATCAGAGAAAGGAGATTAGAAACTTAGACTTAGAGACTTTATTTACTCAAACTGATTTACTAATTATTAAAGTAGTTGACAATAAATGTATCAAACAACTAATCAATTAGTCTACTTGAAAGCATTATAAATAACATTAAAGTATCGTTCATGCAGAACTCTCCCTGTGTCAGGCGTCTCCTACCTTGCTCTGAAGTCTGGAGGACGTGGTTCTCACAGAGGAAGTTCTCCAGCCTCTGGTCCTGATGGTGGAAGTACCAGTCCTCCACCACCTCCTCAAACTCCTCCAGCATCGTCTCACACTGAAAACACACAGACACATACACATTGGTTGAGGTGGCCAAAGCAGGTGTGTAATGTTGTTCAATACTGTTACCAAAGTGTAGCTCTGGGTTGCATTGCTGCTGTTGCACAATGTTCAACTGACTTTAGGAAAGAATGGAAACTACAGATATCAAAACACTGCACCTAAATTTCAAAATGTTGAAGAGAGATCATTAAAAAAAAAAAATCTGGCCTGCAGTAATTATATTTGGCTCACGAGATAATATCAGATGTCTACTGCTAATCAATTATTGAGTGAGTTTTTTAAAAAGAAGAAAACACTGAATTTGCCAAGTCCAGCTTCTTAAAATAAAATATTTTCTGGTTTCTTTACTCTTTTATGACTGAATATCTACGGGTTGTGGACAAAACAACACATTTAAGGATGTCATTTAGATGTTTGGGAAACACTGACCAACATTGTTCCCCATTTTCTGCCGTTTTATACACTAAATAACGAATCGATTTAAGCGAGAAAATAGTCATAAGATCCAATCCTACTGGACTGCATGTCCGTTGCATATGTTTTAAACCGACCACCTAAACACTCAAAAGCTTAACTGTATTTCTGCATTGTAAGCAGGCCCAAATGCCTCTTCCTACCTGTTTTTTCATGTCCGACACCTCAACTGAGGGTTCATCCCAAAGCTCAAAAGGCATACCCAGGTCCACTTTAACTCCTTTGTGGACCAGATTCTTCAGAGTCGTCATGGTTTGACTGGCACCCTGAAAAAAGAGCAGGTGTCAGTTCACGACACAAACTGAAAAGAATGACTAGGACACCCAATAAGAGCTTTTACAGAGAAACTACCTTGGCGTATCGGAGGCTGCCGGGCCTCTCTGCGTGAACGCTGTACTGCAGGATGCGCTCACATATGTTGTCTACTGCCTCAGTCAGTCGAGTTTCCCTGAATTCAAATACACAGCTTTGAATTGAGACTACACAAACATAGAAGACACTTGAATCAATGTAGAGGTTTACACACAGAGCTCAGATCATGGATTGAAGTCACATTCTTCATTCAAAGTGGACTTACGAGGTGTTGTACTTGATCTTTCTCCTTCTCTTGCCTGTGTCCAGCACCTCTCCAACCTCCAGAACTTCTTTGGAGCGACCAGTTTTCGCCAGAGCTTCCTGCAGCTCAACTGTCAGAAACTTACACACTAACAGACAACAAAAACACAAACAGTTTCAGCTATTTCTACATTTCATACACGTATAACAGACTGACATACATTTGTAAACAGACACCATCCTGCTCCTACAGTGCTAAATGTCATTACATCTAGCTAGTGTCACTTTTATCGCCCTACCTTCGCATTTATTCGGCAGCCTTTCGTCGTCATTTGCTAAAACCAAACTGCAGAGCCCCAAAAAAGCCAGAATAAAAACGCCCATTGCAATTTGTGTGCTTCAGAACCTACAGACTAACTAAAATTACGAAAAGTTTAATATCAAACCAGCCACATCGGCATAGTTTGGGGCGACTTGAAACTGCGCATGCGTACAGTATCCCACCAGGCGCGACGAGTCGATAGCTGGTGTTCCGATGTCAGGGAAGGTAGTTGATAGAAGAAAAACACAAAGTCATCACTCCTCAAAAATGAAAGTACGTCTCTTAAGATACAGATTGAGTTTTTCATTAGTTAGTGAAGCTCATCGAACTAGTTATTTTTCCTCTACAGTCATTGATTATATCCCTAAAAACTTTAAAAAGCTCTGTGTTCCAAAGTTATTTATTTATTTATTTTTCAATGAAAATGATGCCCTATTGCCTTAAAATGGTTTAAATGCAACTCTAAACTGTTGTTTCCTCTTGCAAAACTACTCTACACTTCACAATGGCAAGTTGTAATATTGGAATCATTCATCTAAATATGTTTAAACCAGAAAACTGTTTAAAAAAAAAACAAAAAACAGTGAAGTGAAACTCTCACTCTGCAAGTTGACAGGATGGGGTCCTTAGGTTTGTGATGTATGCAACCATGGAAATTTATGTTTTTGAGCATATTATTAGTGCACTGCTTTCAAAGTGGACATGTTTAATATTTGTATATAGTTTCTAATTTGCTGCTGCTTTTACTTTTATTTTTTACCTAAGTTTTTCTTTTTATAACAAAGCTGACTTTGAGAAACACAAGAAGTCCAATCTTCTTGTACTGTAATGCAAATTCCAATAAAAATTCTTTTAAAAAATAAAGATCTTTTTTTGCTCATATGTTGTCTTGAATATTAAAAAACAAACAAAAAAAATACTAGATGGCTATGTTGGACGAAATAATTTAAGTCTACTGCACAGGCCTATTCTCATGTATTAGAATAAAAAATAAAATAAAAATCATATGACATATGTCCCTTTAATATGTATATGTAAAATATACCAAAAACATGCTCTGTATTACCTATTACAGGTATACACAGCCTAAATTACAACAATGTAGTCCATGTAGACAACAAAACTATATATAAAAATCCCTTTTATTCATGTAAAATTTCTGAAATCTACAATCTTTTTGTTAAAATAATGGCGTTTTGCACACAAACATTCCCAAAAAGTAGTCATTGCAACCATTTTGTTGAGATGGATTTCTAATTCATCAACACCGAATTGCTGCCACAACTTAAACACAAAGGAAAGGGAGATAATTGGCTCGATATTCGGCAGTGAAGCAGTTAAAATAGAAGGTGCTTGCCTCTCGGTTTCTCAGGTGTCAGGGGCAGCACGCGCCACAGCAACGGATACTGCCAGAGTCTGTAAGGAAAAAAGATAGAGAGGAGAGGAGAGGAGGGAAGAGGAGAAGAGGCCAAAAAGATAAGGCAGAAAAAGAGAAGAGAAGGAGTCATAGGCCAAGTTAAAATGAGGACGGAAAGGAAAAGAGATGAGATGCAAAGAGAAGAAGACAGAATATGCAGAGTCACCAAACGGGAGAGCCGCAGCAGCAGTAAGTACACACACACACACACACACTCCTAGAAAACACATTTGTTTGTTTTCCAGCTGCAAGAACAGTTTGCGCACAGGTGTCAGAGGATAAACTGTTCATCTTAAATGTCTGAAACTCAAGAGTAATTGCAGTAACTGTAGATTTTACTGCTGCCAGACTTGCCGGGGCTATAATTGTGTGTTATGTCACTTGGAATGGTGACTGTCTGTCTATTGTCTGTGCAGAGGCAGATATAGTTACACAGGCTGACACTCATGCATCACGTCTACAAGCTGTTGTGTATACACACACACTCACACACTCACATGCTCAGATGATACACAGCCATAACAGATGGTGTAAGGAAACTTGCACACTCACATCAAGCTGTGCTTTTCTCACTCAGGTCCAGCGATACAAACATCTTTGATGACACAGACTTAAGTACCTCATGGAGATGAACCAAACACTCCTGACAGAATCAGAGGAAACAAGAAGAAAGAGCTGCTCTGGATCCATTTAGTCAGCTTTCAACAGCTGAAAAAAACAACCAGGAATCCCTAAAGAATTTTCCTGAATGACTAACGAGCGGAGGACACGATCCTGAATCCACTAGTTTCATCTGAGGAAGACAAGACAGAGGAAGAACTTCAAGTGTGACTGAACGGTAAGTTTATCTTGGCAACACAAGTACACATCTCCTCGTCAGTTCATGCATAACCAATGATCTATCATGATCTGATATATATTTAATAAACTCCCAGGGCCCAAAAATGTTGAATGATCCTGTTACTAATAATTAAATATTTAAAGTAAATGCAGCAGCAGCACTAAAAACTGAGGACTGGAACAAGCAAAGTCATACACACAATGTAAATTGTTTTAAACTTGTTTAACTTAAACACAAGTTTTCCTGCTAAATAAAAATACGAGGTAACTGAAGGTAGGCTAAATCATTTATTTAAACTTCACCTTATTAGTTTTGAATTGAAAAATTGGATCTAAACCACCAGATATTAACTTAAGAAGTTGAATCGACTGCGTCTTTTAGACCATTATCACAGACAGACTTGCTTTCCTTTGTCAACTGCTCTGTTGAAGGAATCTGTTATTATAAGCAACCAGCTGCCAGTAACTATTTTACATGTGAGAAAACATAGGAGGGGATTTTAAAATAAGCGTACAGTGGTAGGGACTGAATTCCTTCCTAACCCTCTGCATGGTTGGCATTGTTTTCAATTACAGAAGGAAAGTAACAACTAGGACTTTACTCATAATAAGTGTCACACAACAATTTTTACTGTGAAGTGTTTTTTAAGCTACAAAAGAAAGGTCTCAGCAGAGCAGAACAGTGCATGGCGTGACATTTGCTAGTTCTGACTCTTTGAAGAGTTGAGTTGATTAAACTCTCGGCTGCAAATTAATTCATCTCATCATTTTAAGTCAAGTGACTACAGATTGGTGAACTTTTGTGGGTTAAACTACCTTGAAATTCACAAAAACGTCTGTATTTACATTACTTTAATAGGAAGCGGTGTTACAGTGAAGACTTACACCAGATGGCAACTATACTTTAGTGTCCAATGGTTTTTACATGACTTGCAATAGCTGAAAGAAAATCTGTTACCATATTATTCCAAAGTCTCTTTTAACCCTATTCAGGACTTTCATGTTGCCATACATAGAAAGAATATGTGCAAAATTTCAGTTGGTATTCATTATAGACTTTTATACTATGTTAAATCCATTTTCTGATAAGTTGATGTATTTTTGGTTCCAAACACATGACAAATGTCCTTCTTTGTATATTAAAAAAATAAAGAAATCTGAAAAAATAAAAAAATCCAATTCCTGTCACCTAAACCAAATAGCCTGGGGTCCAAAAGACCCCAAAAGTCATGCATGGGGGTTAATGTGAGTGCTTTTGGTATGAAGCAAACAAAGCTTATATTTTTATGCATGATATTTTTTTTTTGCTTTTTAAAATATAAATATAGCCTAAAGCTATGTGTCAACTGGCTTTTGGGTTTCAGTCCTGCTCTGATTAC